CTGTTTACAATAACAAAGATTTGGAAACAACCTAGATGTCCATCAACTGAGGAATGGATAACCAGACTGTGGTACATACACCCAAGGGAATACTATGCAACCCTAACGAGTAATGTAGAATCTGCAAAACAACGCATAACGTGGATGAACTTGGAGGACGTTATGCTGAGAGAAATAAGTCAAGTACAGAAGAACAAATATTGTATTAGTCCATTATTTTAAAAATCAAGGAATGGTTTATATATGGAAGGAAATTATCTTTGTTACCAGGGGTGGGAGCAGAGGGTAGGGAACACTGTTAGATAGGTAGACATAAGTATTGATTTGGGTGAAAAGAAGGGCAATGTACCAAATGTGAGTGATCAACAACATGGTAGCATTAAGGAAGAGGAAGACATAGAGAGGTACGGGGGAGGTATAGACAACAAAAATGAACCCTTTTGCACACACAGCACTACATTTTCAGTGAAGGCAAACACGGGTATACAAACACAGGTGGATAGATGGGTGGACAGGCTGAGCTATTAGGTATTTCTATGCAGCAGGGATTGTACCCAAGACCATGTATAAGGTTGTCAGATAATGGTTCTACAAGTGTATTTGTATGTTCTGTAAGAACTCCCAGGGGTATAGTAGAGCTGACAAGGGAAAAGGTTGTTGTCACTTCTTGGTCACACCCAGCTACCCAGAGGGACCAAGCAGTTGAACATGTGGGCTAGGGACCATAGTCACAGGGGACATCAAGTTCAATTGGCATAACACACTACACAAAACATTGTTCTACCTCCTACTTGGGCTAGTAGTGACTGGAATATTAAAAGCTTGCAATCAGCCATCTAGACGCAACGATGGGTCTTTCCTCATCCAGAGCAAAGAATAGTGAAGAAATCCAAAGATTCATGGAAACAATTAGTCCTAGCAACTGGTACATCATGAGATCCTCAGCCTACATGACTAAGAGATGAGAAGAACTAGACGGTGTCCGGCTACCACTGTCAACCACTCAGAGGGGGATCTATGCAGGAAATCCTAGATAGAGAGAGAGAACAATGTGGAACAAAACTCAAAATCATTTGGAAGCAAAAAAAAGGGAGACCAGGTTTGCTGGTCTGATAGAGCCTGCTGGACTCTAGTGACTATGGTCACTAGTTGTGATTCAGTTCTGGAATTCAACACATACCTGTGGCTTCCAGACAATTAGAAGTCAGGCATAAGAGTTAAACATGTACCTGAGGTAGGTACATTCCTTGAAGATAACAATCATGGGAGAAAGAAGGGCTGTTTATGCACAGGGAGATAGTTCAGGGGGCAGGAGTGCATGGAGGGAGTGGGAGGGTAGGTGTTGCATTGGGGTAAACTCTCAATGTCATCAGACAACGTGTGTGTGAACTGCTATATGGAAAGTGAATTTCCTCTAAACTTTCACCCAAATCACAATTAAAACACACACACACACACACCCCAAACAGAACAGAAACCACCTCTAGTCAAGCAACCCACACCCAGAGCAGCTGAGTAGACCCAGGCACAAGCATTGGTTCGTGGCCATGAGTCGAAAGTGAACACTGACCCATCCCTGCAGGTAGTCCTCCTCCTGAGTGGGCAGGGGCTTTAACAGCTGCAAAACCAGGCCTTGGACAGGCCTCCAGCTGTGAGGCTCACTCCCGTGCCTCCTCGGAAGGTGTGTTCTCAACCTCTTCCCACCCCCACAAACTGAAGGCATCCTTTCCTTGCTCCCACAGTGTCATTGAGTGATACTGGCCCCTGGGTCTTCTCCTGTCCCATCAGCCTTGGTCCCCTTCCTGCACTCTGGAAGTCACCCATTGCTTGCGGCATCCACACCCTTCACTTTTAAGCCAGAACATTTAGGCCAGAACCAGATGCTACTGCCCTAATATCTCATGTGCCTGTCAGGTGTTCCCAGTGAGGGTGAAAGAGATGGTGGGGCTTCCTCTGGCCTGGCTACTCTTCCTCCTCAGGTGTCCTATGTGCTTGAACACTCAGTGTCTGGGGATGGGTTGTGAGACAGTTGCAACAAAGACAGCTGAGCCATCAGGCTTGTGTGGGGTGAAGGGTGGACAGAGAGTGGGAGTGGGGACACTGCCTGTGGCCGTGGCCTCTATAGTCCAGGCTCTGAAACACTGACGGATCACCATACGTCTTAATCTACACACTGGATCACCACATGAGCTCCCCTGAGATATCACCACAGCCGCCCTGTGACTCAGGGACTTTATGATGCAGTCCATGTTCTGGTTCTGTTGTCTGTGAGGTAAGATGACAAGGCTCAGCACTGGCAGGCATTAAGCACCAGAACCCTGGATGGCTAGATCGAGGGATGACTGGTCTCCTCATGGACATGAGGCTTTGTCTATGTTGAGCCTTCCCTTGTTCTGTGCGATATTGGATATCCCTGAAACACCTACACATCTATCTTCAGCATTAAGCTGATCATTAAGCAAATGAAGAAGAGAGGCCACAGACCGATGTAGGAACCTACCAGGAACAGCTGCCAGCAACCCCGGAGAGTCAGCCAAAGGGCTAGCAGCGCAGAAGCAAGAGCTAGGAGAACATCCCCGGAAGAAGCTGATGGTCTTCAAGGCTGGCTCTCTGTCATGAAAAGAGAGAGCCATGTTCCTCGGGAGGGACACGTGCTGCAACTCCTGTGTGCAGCCCCCCACTACCATGTCTCCAAAGACACAGCTCTGGAGACTTAGCAATCACTGACAAGTAAGAAGAGTGCAATCATCTTCAGCTCAGCAAGGGTACCACAGGGCTTCTCCTGCTCACAGATTCTGTCTGTGTTCAGAATCTCTGACCAGAGTCAGCAGCTGAGTCCATATAGCTGCCGTGAGTGTTCACTCACTTCTGTAACCTCGACATTATCACAATTAATGGATCCTAAATCCTTTACCCAAACGGCTGCTCCACCAACCGGTGTGGTCAGCACTCAAAATTACCAGACTGAATGCTTGTACCTAGAGCAGGGATCTCTGCTGCCAGATGTGCCCAGGGACCCAGGGACTAGGTCTTCCTCAA